CTTAAAAATGAATATTTACAACAACTTGTCAACAATAATAAAATATCAAAAGAAAAGAAAAGTTCATTTGTTTCTAAGCGACGAATAAAACATATAATTTTTATAATTAAAAAAGTCGCTTAATAATAGTATTATCATTAATGAACTAATAAAAATAATGCTGTTTTCAAATTTACATTTTTATTCCATTAAGTATTTCCATGAAAAATTAATGAGTAAATCAAATTACAATCTCATTTTTATTAAAAAAAAAATTTCACAGTAATTCTTTTTTTCTCTAATAATTGCATTTCCTCGAAGTGTATTAGCCTAACATGCACTAAGTATACTAAGTATACTGTCCCCTAATATTGGACAGGCATTGATAAAATTAACCGAGATGTTAATAGGTTTAATTATTAATATATATATATATATATTAATATAAAAGCAATCATATCATGTCAGTTTATAATAGTTTGTTAAGTTTATTTTTAAGCATAAAAATGAAGCATAAGACTTGACTTATTTTGATTTCGAANGTGCATGTATATATGTATATATAATGTATATATATTTCCTGCCCATAGATGGCGCCACTGAAAAAACAGGAACAATCGCACCCCCACTGCCTAAAAAAAAACAGGCATACGACAAAAAAAATTATTCTCTTAACTTTAATAATTTTTCTTTTTTTCCCTTTTATCCTTTTTGTCTTTATTGTGCTATATATTAATGGGACCGGAAAGTGATGTCGTTTCTGAGCATTTGATATTTGTTATCAAGATTTTATTTCTTAATCAATAATGTATTCATCCTCGTTAACAACAACCTTTCAATGCCGGATCGAAAATGAATCGAAATGGATCGGAAAAAATGAATTGGTTTTTAAGACTAACGAATATTTAATGAGCCGAAACGACATTACTTTCCAGTCCCCCTAATATATATATATATATATATATAACTTTTATAGATGCTAAATTTTGTTCATCGATAACGTCTATTCATGAGGCCAACAGAAGAATCATTACCGCACCCAGATAAGGGCATTGCCTAAAATTAAAAGCGTTTTTAAAATCACGTACCATCGATATTAATTTTGAAGTCTATGGAGGTAAACTCTAAAAACGGCCAACCTCATACTATTAACTAACTATGCAGTAACTTTCACATTTTTAACTAACTATGCACGAAATAAGTTTTCCCTGATGGTGCACCGCGGAACCCTAGGGTTCCGTGGAAGGGCTTTCGTGAGTTTGGACCTTTTATTTTAATCAGTAATGATTTTTGAAACCAATCTAGATCTTATAAGACATTTCAACGTTTATAGCAATTCTTTCAAAATTCTTCTTATTTTATTCATTTTCAGGTAATAGGTAACAAAAACAAATTCATAACTAGACTATATACAGGACTGAGAATTCAATTGCCAAATCATAAAAAGCTATTTTGAGATATTTAATGGCAGAAAGATAAAAAACTTACATTCTCTTCTTAAAATATATATTAAATAAAGTAGTATTTTATTTGTTAATGCACTCACAATTGTCTTTAAATACTTTTTTATTAAGTGGCGCTAATGGAAGGGTTTTTTTTAATAACCATCGTTGAACAGCCGACTCGATTTTTGGGTTTACGACTACTGATGTTCAACACCATAGCCGTGTAATTTTGAACCCAATCCAGAAGACAAGGGAACTCCTGGATCAAGTACCGGGAGAAATTTTGCCTTCGTGGAGGACTTTTTGATGGAACTAACCCGCATTTGCGTTACAAGGAGAGGAAGAACCACGAAGACCTCCCACGGTTAGCCTTACGGCAAGAGGACTCATGATACGTCTACCACTGAGGATATTTCACGTCTGCACTGTGGTCGGTGCAAGCCGGATAAGGAATTCGTAAGGACCAGACATCGCTGGGATTCGAACCCGGTTCACCTTATTGGAAGGCGAACGCTCTATCGTCTGACCCATCACGGCTCGCTGAAAGATGATTGGCCATAATCGGAAGAAAAAAAGTTGGAATCTGCTGAACTGAAAAAACTATTAAAATAATAATTTCTCTAGTTTCAAGTTTTCAATGGCATTTACAGAGAAATACTCAGTACCGTCTTTAAGGATAGGCACACTCGGGCAGTGCCGGGGGCCTCAAACGCTCAGGGGACCCTTGAAATCATATTTTTTATAAATTGTATTAAAAGAAATTAAGAATAAACTACATTACATCATATATATTTTAAAATAAATACATTCTATTTGTAAAAAGTGAGCGTTTTTTTTCCTACAAATAGTGATTGATTATCTTGCAAACACCAATAGTTTGAATAGTTTATAACCAGGAAAACTTAAAAAGTGAACCGAAATCTATTTTTCTACGTTAAAATGAAGTCTATAAATACTCAACTTTAACAACTGAGATGTTTTAATAACTGACTTTAATAGTTTGACGAAATAATTCATAGCTTTGGGATTTTTTTATTTGTTATACCATTATGTTTTTATTTTTAATTTAGTTATTTTAATTAGCTTCTTAGTTTTGAAGATTATTTTATTATTTGAGGTTTGCTATTAATTAGCATCTAAATTTTTTTTATAATTATGCATGCTTTAAAAATATTTTATTTTATGTGCATTGAGTTTTTGGTGTAATAAAACTGTGTTTAAGTTTGTTAAAATTGTTGCGTATCTCAAAAATGCTTTATTTTATGCATGTGAAGTTTTTTTAGTTCGATTTTAAACAGCGTGACAGGTTATTGGGACCCAAAACATTTCTGTGCCCTACTTGTTATTAAAACGGTCCTACTACATGTGCATGTTAAGAGATTATCAGTAAGATTATAATAAAACCAGAATGTTTGTATCAGAATTTTGGACAGTGTTAGTAAAATATTAGAAAAAATTAGGAAAAAAACTTGTTAAGCCTAAATTCAAAAGAACAAAATAATCTATAAATACTAAAACGATCATGAGAACAGCGAGACATATTTAATCATTTAATATCCTTTTCTAATATAGTGAAATAATTTTTTAAAAAAATTATTACAATAATTTCACCAATACTGAGTATTAACTATTCAAGATTGAATTGTACAAGGACTCTATATTAATGGGTTAAGGGCAGTAAAAGGCAGTCAAATAAAAGTGCAGACGATTATTTAGTGTAATTAATTAGTGCAGACGATTATTTAGTGTAATTAATTAGTGCAGACGATATTTTTAGTTGCGAAATCAGACTCAAAAACGTCGTTTCTTTGAAAAATCATCTTATATAATGGATTTGGAATTTTGACCATTAAAAAATATGGGTGGTAGCCGTAATCTGGAAAATAAGGCCCCAATATTTAGGTAGTAAAGAGGTCGAAAGTTTTGATCCTCAATGTAAATTTTGCTTTATGCGTCTTTCGCCATATCGCAGGAACTTTTTAATGGAATAGAAAAGTTCATGTATACAATTATAAATTGCAAACAAATATTTTCTGTCAATGTTTATGCATACAAATATTTTCATGCAAAAAATAATTTTCATTATATTTATTATTTTTTATTATCTCATTTAATAACTCGCAATTATAGGCTCAAATTTTTACATTATTTTACAGAAAGTAATTTTAAATAGCAAAATATAGAATTTGAGCGAAATCTGCCGATTAGGTTTTGAGAAATCTAATTCTACATTTGCAGTCTTTTAAAAATTTAATAATATAAATATATAGCTAGTTTAAAACACTAAACGATATGAAGTTTAAAAAAAATAATAATAAATAACTGATCAAAAGAACACGACCGAAAAAATAATTGCTGATGCTTTTTTTTTAATTCTTCCATGTTTTTATTAATATTTTAGACAGTTCAGGAACCAAGTTAAAGGTCTTTATGGGCCATTTTTGGCCAGGGAACTATAGGTTGATCATCCCTCCAGTTAAATAATGTATAAACTTATCCATATTCTTTTTTTTTCAATTTGCAATCTATTAATTCAGATAAAAAACAGGTTTTTCTAATAAAAAATTATGTAACCCAGTTTTTTTAACAAAGCAATATGTGATCCTTAAATTCATTTTTAAAATTTTTTTTAAAAAAACATGTAATTTACGAATTTACAGTCCCTGGACAAATTATTAGATGCAATATATGATTCTATGCAAAATCTTAATTATCAGTTGATACTATACAGCTTTAGTGTTTTTATGCTATTGTTTGCACTTGTTTACGTAAGTGCATCAATAGGTTAAATTAGACGATATAGAATATAAATTTGACGATAGGATAAATTAGACGATATAGAATATAAATTTGACGATAGGATAAGTTAGACGATATAGAATACAAATTTGACGATAGGATAAATTAGACGATATAGAACATAAATTTGACGATAGGATAGATTAGACGATATAGAATACAAATTTGACGATAGGATAATTTAGACGATATAGAACATAAATTTGACGATAGGATAGATTAGACGATATAGAATATAAATTTGACGATAGGATAAATTAGACGATATAGAATATAAATATAGAATATTTATTATATCAAGCATTATATTAGTATATTATAATAATTAGATCAAATTATAAGATGCACTTGTAGTGTTTTAATAATGACATGTTTTGCACGAGTTTATAGGCAATACTTTTATATTTAAACACACATGTAATGGGGTTTTATTCGGGAGATTTTTTATTAATTCCTATTTGTATTTATTTTTAACGTATTGCATTACAATGTTAACCAATTGATACAGGAATGTAAGCAAGTGCAAACAGCGTAAAAACAATCAAGCTGTATAGTATCACCTGATAATTAAGATTTTACATAGAATCTTATACTGCGTCTAATAATTAAGCCAAAGACTGTACTTCAAAATCAGTTTTTTTCTTTTAATAAATCCGTGAATTCTCTTAGAAAAATAGGTTTTCTTTCAAAAAGAAAAAAAAAATGAAACAGGGTGGTGTTACTCCTTTGAAAGACAAATCAAATTTATCATTCTTTTGATATGAAAATCTCATTTACCTCCAGATGTTGATGTGTGATGGTTTCATCTGTCAAAAAGGTCCATCGTGCCCGAGAGACAGTCACGTGACTTGCGTCATTAGCCTTCCAGAGACAAACATCAACAAATCGCGCGCGCTCAGCCCCGCTCGAACGGCACTGCTCACAGAGAACACTTCTGATTTCGGAATAATCGAACTTTTTTTGTTGTTGTTGGTCACTTACATTAGGAGCCTGTAATCAACGATTCTTTTCAGTAAACAGCAGCTTCAAGAACGGTACACAAGCCGATCGGAAAAGACAACCTTGAGTGTAGATGCCCGAGTTTAGGGGGCGCTGTAATCGTCCTGGGAGGTGAGCCTTTCCCGGAGAGCTTTTGTTCTTAAATCCTCATCTCACTCCCTCACCTTTTCATGACTCTCTCCCCCCCCTGTCCTTCTCTCCTGTCGCACTCTCTTTTATGCAGAAAAGAACCACATCGCGTGATGGTGACTCACACGAAACATAATGGTAGTTGCCAGGAGTTAAAATCAGGAGTCTGTATTTCGAAATATTCGACTCCGGACTGATGTGACACTCCGGCTTATACTCCATTGAAATTTTTAAATCAATTTCTGGTAAAGTATTCATATTATTACCAGAGATGTGGAACAGGTGACAAATTTAAATATTGCAGCAGTCAGAAAAATTTGTTCCGCCGCATTTTGTTAAAAGTTAGGTGTTATCAAATAAAGGTGCATAACGTGAATAAAGCACATATAAGGGTACAGAAATAGACATACACTATTTCGAAATGAAGATAGGACATGCTCTGTGCTACGTATGAATAAAACAACAAAAAACAATGTAAATAAAGCACAAATAAGGGTACAGAAACAACAAAAGGGTATTAATAGCAGGGAAAAAAACAACTAAGAATGAGTAAAAATTTAAGGAGAAACGAAGAACAAAGAATTTTCTATCTCCATTTATGAGCTAGGAGATTATGAATTATAATCGTTTTCACTAGAAGGGGTGTGTGTAGCGAAATCTGAAAATTTTTATTTTTGTGTCCTCTGTTTCCATTTTATTTTGAAAGAGTTTGTTAGTTAAAATATGGTTGCATGTATGTTGTTAAGCTTTCGCACGACTAAACTGTTCGTTACTAATGAAATAACTAAATTATTAGAAACGAGAAGTGTATATGATTAGAATTATTTAGAACATACAAATACTTCAGTGTAGTACTATTGTCAATAACTACGAGAATGAATTGAATGGCAAACAGTTGCTGACAGTAATGTGAACAGTGTACATAATGTAAAGATTAACGTTCGGTAAGAAAATTTATACAAATTGTTATTTATACTTATTTTTAAGATTTCCTAGTAAGGAAACATAGGCTAAATTGCCGTTAAAAATGGACATTTTAATTCAAAAATGCATACTCTGTTTAATGTTTTATTCGGAATTCTTTAATTTATTTGTAATATCTTTTACTCGTTATATCGTTTAATAAACTTTTAAAATAAAATCTACTACATATCAGAAAGATACATTTAAAAGCAATTTTTTTTTTAAAAATAGACCAGTTAAAATTTTAGAAATAATATTTTTAGTTATCGATTTAACCTAAATACTTAAGAGTCAAAATACATTGACGCTACTAAAGAGAGGGACAGTAATTTTTGTATTGTATTTTTTTTTTTTTTTTTTTTTTTTTTTTTTTTTTTTTTTTTTTTTTTTTTTTTTTTTNTTTTTTTTTTTTTTTTTTTTGCGTTGTAAAAAAAAAAAAAGAGAATAAAATAGGCAACGCTTATACGCAAATAAGGTATGCGATGATAACTAAGCTTTTCGGACACGTCACCCAAGCAGTGGTCAGTGACATTGTAAGGCTGTGGAGCTGCCAATGCCCCTCCCTTTGTCAGGCTCTGCGAACTGTTGCAAAACTTATAGCAAGTCAATCACGGGGATATCAGGTTTTCGAGAAATGTGGTGCCCACTTTGTGGAAAAAAATTCACAGAGACAGGGAAAATAGTCCACCGATCTTGACAAAGTCGCAAAAGATCAATAACGCCGAATCAGGACCGTTATTTGAGACTTTTGGCCAGAAAGGATAAGTCCGCGACAACGGCCTCTCGCAATGTGCATAATGTAACTTCATTTCACGGATAACAGTCGCTGTAATCTCGCTGTAATCTGCATCCCTATGAACCATAAAAAGGACACCGTCTAGCATGATACCGTGAGCATCTGTCTTTGACGGAAGAGGATTAGGAGCAGAATTTGTGTCGCATTTTAATCTGGATAGCGACTCGAGACAGACGTGTTCTTAGCTGAAGAGAACACAGGAGACGGCCCTCTAACTTCGTCGAAAAGTGCCACTATGGTCGAGATAGTATGATGATCTGGACAGGTTTCATGGCAAACGAGCATACCGACTTTTGAGTGTTCGATAGAAATACTCTGACGGGACAGTGGTACAGAGAAAAGATCCTTGCACCCCATATGAGACTTTTCCGCTCAGCGTGTGAACCAAATTTCATCTTTATGAACGAAATCGCCGGTTTAAACAGGACTCAGCTGAAGACAAATACCTCCAATCAGAGGATATTCACTGATTAGAGTAGCCTGCAATGTCTCCTGACCTTATCCCATCGAACACATATAGGACGCTATTTGGGCGTTGAATTACAGCTTGAAAACCAATTCCTGCAACCATTGATGACCTCAAATTTTCCTTGGTGCTAGATTGAGTGCTGTTGCCACATTAAAATCCTGATAAACAGTATGAAACACCAATGTAAGAGTTCTGTAGCTGTTAAAGATGATCATGCACCATATTAGGCATGTGTTTTTCTCTGACATTGTCGAAAGCTGCTGCGCTGGACAAGTGACCAGTTTCCTTGTTCAGGGTACAAGTTATGCCCAATTTTGCTTTAACATTTATTAGTCTTATATCGGATGATATTTTGGAAAGGTTTAACTTTATTTGCTTTGACAACTTTTTTTTTCTGCAAAAAAAAATTAATATTTTTTTATAAATTTTAAGTTATCTAATTTTGTTTAATTTTGAGTTTAGTTATTTAATTTTATTTCGAAAGCTTTAAAAAAAACATTTATTTAATGAATTTATTTTTAAAAATAACAAATTAAACTGAGCCGGGGCAAAAATAAGAATTTGATGTCATATAACACGAACACAAAAACAAAATGAAAGAAATACTAAGAATAACAGATCTTTAATAAATTGAAAAATTGTAGTTTAAAATTAGATGTAATTAAAACACGAGGGATGTTAACATTTTTACAATTTTATAAGGCTAACTGCAATTCCGTAATCAGTATTATTATCCTTATAAAATTTAGAAAAATTTCAATCCCACAGTGGACCAATCGTAAGACATGGATTCCAGTAGATCACCGAAGTTAAGCATAACCTGACAGTAGTCATAGAGCGAGTGGATAACCACTTAGAGTACCAAGCGAAAGAGCTGAGAGGGCGCGGTATTGGTCCTCGACTTCACGCGCAGGTCGTTGGGCTACTAAAGCGAGGGAACCATCCCCTTCTCAAAGGAACAAAATTGTGATGGCGTGTCTTCGAATTATCCTCAGGGATATTTCCCAGAACGTCGGCAATAGCCCATTGAGTAGTGAGCCGGGATAGCCTGGTTTGTAGGGCGTTGGTCTCTTGTTTGAGAGAACAAGAGTTCGAATCCAGCCAGCCGAAGAATCCCCGTGTATTAAATGGTGACTGGTCCACGTTAAATCTGTCGGGATCACAAAGCTCTCCAAGTTCCCATAACAAATCAATACCTCTGGGGTACTGATCCAGGAGTTTTCTTGTCTTCTGGATTGGGTTCAAAATTAGGAAGGCTACGAAGTTGAAAATTGTTAGCCGTTAACTCAAATTTGGGTCGGCTGTTCAATGACAGTTATAAAATAAAATAAAAAAAACACCCTATTGGGAGCCGTGGTAGTTCATGGAATAGAGTGTTCACCTTCCAATGAGAAGAACCGGATTCGAATCCCAGGGATGGCTGGTTGATACGAATTCAACACCCGATCAACACAGACTTCAGTCCAGACGTGAAATATCCTCAGCAGTAAACTGATCATAAGTTAAAATCCCCTTGCCGTTAGGGTAACCGTGGAAGGTTTTCGTGATTTTCCTCTCCATGTAACGCAAATGGGGGTTAGTTCCATCAGAAAAGTCCTCCACGAAGGAAACTCTCCCATTACTTTATCCAAGAGAGTTCCTTTGTCTTTTGGATTAGGTTCAAAATTATGAGGTTACAGAGTTGAACATTTGTAGTCGTAAACCCAAACTTGGGTCGGCTGTTCAACGACGATTATAAAATAAAAAATAAAATAGCCCATTATGCATCTCTAGTGCAGTGTAAATGAAATACTACTATTACGGGAAATCCTACCTAGTGGTGGGATTTCCCGTAAATCTAACTATAGTAGTTTTTTTCTATATGTGTAAACGTACCCTTTAAAATAATATTTAAAACTAGTGGGCTGCGCCCCCTGCTCGCTAACGCTTGCCAACCCCCAAAATTGCTACGCAATCTTACATGGTTTGCTTCGCAAACCAAGCTCGATTCGCTCGCTACTAACTTAGGTACATTGCAAATGCACAAAATTCTAAGAATTCAAAACAATCATTCAAATCCATATAACAACTTTTTTTTAAAAAAAAATTACATCTTTTTAGTAAATACTAAGTCATTAAAATAAATTTGAATTCAAATAAATGACATGTAATTCGTTAAACCTATTAGAAATGTGCTATAGTATAAAATCTTAAAGCGTAACAGCACGACTGAGACTCATTTTTCAATGAATAACTAATAACAATAATAAAACAAATAAATTCGTGATATAAATCAAAAATCGTCAAATAAATTCGTAATTTATGAATTCGTGAAAAAAAGCGCTTTCGACAAAATACTAAAGTAGAGATCTATAGACAAAGACTACTCACTTCTGCCTAGCTTAATAGTATGAGATTGCCGCAGCTGATAGGGTGAATTTCGGAAGAGATCACATTTGATGAGAATGCTCTCTCTGGTTATTTCAGTTACCGTTTTTAAAAGCGCTATATGTTGAGCCACATCAGCTAGATTTGGCATGTGACATTTTTAGCGGCAATCATTGGTCGATTTTCTAGCGTTACCATTCGGGGAGTTATAATGAGGCTCTTTTTTGTCGCCTTGTAAGAGAAATATATGTATAGATAGATGGAAAAATGTATTAAAAATAATATGCTAGTTCGGGGAAGCCATTTTTGTGATAAATAACATATAGAGTGAAACCTCCATGTACGACCTCCTTTATTTATGACTCTATTT